TAACCGTGCAGTGTATTCGCTCCGAGCCGATGCAGAGGTTGCGCCCCCTCTAGCCAAAATCAGGCAAAATTTCTTGCATGTAAACAAACGGTTTAGAACATATATATATACGTATAGCTGCTTGTGATTGGCACTTGGCAAGCTCGCGAGAGAACGACGATCCTCTCCTGATGTCTTATTCAGCCAATCACAAGCAGCTATACGCATGTATATATGTTCTAAACCGTTTGTTTACATGCAAGAAATGTTGCCTGATTTTGACTAGAGGGGACGCAACCTCTGTATCGGCTCGGAGCGAATACGTGCTGAGCACATAGGGAGAGAGGCACAATTCTCTCATCCTGCTGCCACTGGAGTTTTGTAAGTTAAATAAGACGAGTTTTGCGGAATAAAGGGTTACTTGATCGAAATTTCTTTTTTTTTTTTTTTTTTTTGTTTTGTTATTTAATGCCAAGTACCTCAAACAAAATGCAATATACAGGAGCAGAGCACCGTCTCGGTTTCGGCAGTTTGAAAACCCCCGAGTTGGACAACGAAGTGGTTGATAACTTTGTCCGGATTACAGGTGCTTCTATTCTTACCTTCCCACCTCGAAAAGCAACGACAGCAGTGGCGACGCTATCAAGTTTGTAAATGAAAAAAGAAAAAAAAAAAAAAAAAAAAACGCGTTTCCGAGACTCCGCTACCCTTTCAACAAACGTGAGGTAGCCTTGCCTCCCCTTGCCCCTCGGCGACCCGAGCCCACGCTTTTTCCTCGAGCCGTCGAGATTTTTAAGACACCCTACACGTACACCTGTAATGATCCCATCTATAGCTTCCAGGCACCTATTTCGGTCTGAGAGCAGCCCCGAGCCAAGTTACGAACGTCGGAACCAATGTATATCGATTTGCGATGCCAGAGACGCCCCCGAGCTACATAAACACTCACATTATAATTTAACTCGTGATAAGACAAGAGAACGAGAAACTGCTGATGCAACAAAGTCGTAAGTAGGCTACATCCATACATACATATTTGATGATGCAAATTAAGCCCATGGGTTATTGGGTTACCCGTCAATTCCGATATACATATGTTACGAGTGGCCACTTTATTGTCCTTTGCCTTTGATTTTCGCTCTTCTATACTGTTGTCGGTTGCTGTTAACACAAGAGTAAAAAAAAATAATCCGCCCAATGTGACCCTTCAATTTTCTCGAAAGCGCGTATATATATAATATAAAACTCAAGGACGCGTTCTATATATATATATATATATATATATGCACGGCTGCTCTACAGTGAGCCCACATGTCATACCGTGTCCTCTGTACGATTTTTCCTCTTAAAAGTTATCCAGCGCGTGAGGGAACGTCCTTGCTGGTGTTACGAAAACAGTGTCCAACACTTGTAGACAATATGTACAGGCGAATACCTTCCATGTGTTGGACGGGGGGGGGGGGAGAGGAGAAAATTCGGTCGTGCGCATAATACAGGCATAACTTGGGGATGGGGGTGTCTGCCGGAGAAACGTAGTGTCCTCTCGAAGCGGCTGACGGACGGCATAATGTGGCCCGACGCTCCGCTTTTTCCCCGCTTTTCCCGGCCCATCCCGAAGAGCGCCTGTTCAACATCTGTGCGCGCTCTCCGGTCATCTGGACCATATGCATGAGTATATATATATATATATATATATATATATATATGTCGATCGTGTACGTGTGTGCCTGTCGTCGAGCTACGAGCTGTGCATTATATACCTATACGTCTGTAATGTAAATCTTGTTCCGCTTCGCGTGTCTTGTACCCTGCATCTTTACCGTGGAAAAAAATATTAAATTTACAATTTCATAGGAATTGTATTTGATCGCACCTTTAAAGATAAACTATCGGTATGACTGTATATGAAACGCTTATTAGAATAAAACCAAAGAAATCCGAACTTTGACAATGACAGTTTAGATGAATAGGTCTGATTAGATTTTTCCCATCTGCGTGTCTTCGTTTAACTGGCAATTTAAAGTTATTTTTAATGCCACATAATTTTATCGCATATTTATATTATCATGAACCACATAATACTCGAGCGTATACAATATTATAGAGTACCTAATCAATTCAATAAGTATCAAAATCTTGTCATCGATTCAGATTTACCGTATATGTATGAGGTACATCTATATATTACATACGTGTATACCTATACACGCGTAGTCTAGAGGGGTGCGGAAGTACGTGCTCATAATGTACCGCCGCTGATGGTCAAGCCCTTCGACTTGCCATTATCTTCTCTACGGTGTGTACATATATATACACATATACACGTACACCTACCCAATGCACCGATGTCATCCCATTGTACAATGCACTTCCCCTACACATATACATGTGCATACGCCTATACGTCGTGTATGTAGCTGTCTCTGCAGCCGATTCGTTGATTCATATATGGCGCACACGGAGGAGAACTACATGCTTATACATGTATAGGTGTATGCTACATATATGGGACTGTGCTTCCGATGTATAGGTATGGGTCATTTTCAACGCTTAGCTGATGTAGAGCTCGTTATTGTATTCTGTACAATTGCAATCAAAGTTCAAGGACTCGGTGCAATCTGCAATATGCGATGGGCCCTCGATATGTATGTAATTGATATCAATTATTATTAGTATACCCAATAGTTTCAACGATTTGCTTGAGGAGAGGGAAATAACGCGTTCACAGCCCTTCTTTGGTGTTTTTTTTTTTTTTTTTTTTTTTTTTTTCACGCGTTTCCTGGATAAACGATGGAAAAACCGTGTGCGCATATAGGTGCAAAAGACATGCCTGCGTATACACGGAGCGAGACGTAACAGTTATATTGTTTTCGCGAGACACACAATGTATATATATATGTATACACGAGAGGGTACGAAAGCGGAAAGTGTAATGCAAACAAATCTCGATGAATCAACAACAGCGTCAGCGGTATATAGCGGCGGCGGTGGCGGAATAACAGATATTGGGGGGTGGTAGTGAGGGGGCAAAATCTGCACATGTGTGCGAACGTATATAAATATATACATAATGGGAATGAATTGTCCACTCCCACGTCCAGGAGCAGCGTACGCCTCGGGTTTCTTCGCGACGCTATGTGTGAGTACACGCGACACAATGGTAATACACGCGCGTGAGTATAACATACAAGTATATACGTACAACTACTTTGTATTATCACTGGTAAACAAGAACATCCTGCCATTACTGTCGTCCGAAACAGACGTCGTCTCCCTTGATGTATAATATGGGTATACATGTATTACGTGTGTGTCCATCCCGCACGGCATCGAATGAAATGATGATGGTTGAGAGGCAAAAGTTCTCGAGTTGCAAGCTGCTGCCAATACCCCCGCCTTTCCACGCCTTTCTGTACTCGTGTATATTATATACATGTATATATATATAGTAGGCAGCCGGGGCGACGACGCGTATACTTGGTCGGCGTGTTTCTTTCTTCCTTCCTGTTCCACCGTCCGGGGGTCAAATTGGGTCATTAATTCCTCGACGGGATAATAAATCTTTGCCGCTCCAGTGGTTGAGTCGATGCGACTTCCTCGAATGAGAAGAGGGGGTATAGGGCACGAGAGAACGTACAACATGCAAGCGCACGCGTTACATTTTTCTTTTTCTTTTTTTTTTCTTTTTTTTTTTTCCTCGAGCTCGCCCGCACTACCCCTTTTTTCCCTGCAAAGGGACGCGCTAACGAAGACTCGCTAAAATCGATTTTAAAACCAACAGCCACCACCACATCTACTCGGTCAGCCATACATATACATGAATGCGTAAACCGTAGGTATGGCTGATGGGGATGGCTGGACAATTCGGAAACCATCCCTCTCGTGTTATTTCGTTGGATGTTATACAGTTATGTATGTATACCTGCGCCATACGTAGGTACACGTATATTATAAATATGTACACCCTTATGGTTCACGGAGACCTTTGATGTCTCGTTTGACTCCACGAACATACGGACGCGCAAATGAGAAAGTGTATGAAAACAAATGAAAAACCAAAACCACAAAAGTTTGCTTAATCCCGATGGACTCGTTAAAAGTGTAACGCCTATGATACGTTGCTCTGCGAGAGTAAGTTACAATAGTTGAATTTCCAATGAAGGCCGACGAGTCGAGTTTTCCATTGGAATATAGGTATATGTTACATGCATATAAGTCGGCGATTTTTTCTCTTTCACCCCCCTCCCACCCACCCCTTCGCGACCTCTTTTTGGCTGGAAATTAATGAGCCAGCTCGGTGTTTTACCCCCCTGCAACATGTTCCACCTTTTATCCCGCATTATTCAAAGTTATTGGAAACGAAAAGAATCGAGGAATTATTGCTACTTCCAAGCCCCACCCCTATCGATTCGATCAAACGGGAACGCGTAAAAGAGTACTCTTGTGCCCACGTATATATATATATATATGTCCTACGGACACAAAGTTGATAGCTGGAGATTTTTTCTTCTTCGTCTTCCTTTTCCCGGAGGCGTCGGTTATTTTTACACCCCCCCCCCCGCGTCACGCACCTGTACGCCTGTGGGGCATGCCATACGTGCCCCAGAGCGGAGCCCATACATAAACGAGGAGTCGCGCGGATAGAGAGAGGTACGCCGGTGGATGCATGTTCTCTCGTCCGACTTGCGCTTCGCTTCTCCACCGCGTCCATCCACCCGAGCGGAAGACGCACCCCTTTCAACCACCCCTACATCTCGAGTTCCCTGGGATTTCTTCTTTCCCTGTTTTTCCACCGGTCCTGGCTTGTACACCGGGAGCTACTATTTTTCGCTCCCTCCCACCCCTTCGTGTATACCTACTCTCGAAAACACCCGTACAAGCGAATCAAGCCGGTAAACAACGATTTTGTCTCCTCCAAAGCTTAGCTGCTCGCGTCGATACCGAGGAATGACAAATAAAAAAAAATAAAAAAAAAAAAAAAAACCAACATTTCGCGAGCTTTAGCCTCGTGATTGACTCACCTCGATCGGGTGGTGATGATTCCTGTGCAGATGAATTTCTACAACAGCAGTGATAGTACCCTCGTGCAGAGTTTCCCTGTACAACTTTTGCTTGGCCTTTCCTGAAATAAAAAATAAACAGAGTATAAGGATTTATTTTTTTTCTTTAGGGTGAAGGAGATTGAGTAGAGTAGGTATACATGTGTAGAGACATTCCTGTAACCCACTCGTATGTACATAGTATGGTACCGCTCGGTGTGGTAAAAGGTGCAGGGCGAGATAGGAGGGGAGAAAAAAGAAGCCATCAGAGAGAGCTTTCTCTCGTGAATCATCGGCGCCCATAAATCGCTCGCACTCCTTTCGACAGCATCAGGACCGGCCAGCCCGCCCGAACGGAGTTTTTTTGCTTGTATACACCTGTGATCCCTTCCCCCTACCTCCCGTGTATGTGCAACTGCATGATGGAAAAGCAGCTGCGCGTACACCCGTGCTTGATGTACTATATATAGGAGCTGAGAGATAGTTACGTTGTACATGTCTATACGTTGTTCCCTCGCCATCGGAGGAATCGAGCGACTGTCCAACTCGGTAACTTTGACGAGCCCACACCCCTTCATGTTTTTCGATAGATTTACGTCAAAGAGCACATAATAATATTACGGCTTCTTCTCTCACAAGCCTTTTCTCCCTATCCCAGGAAGGACTGTGACTGGTCGATAAGGTACAATTGTATTTTATGCCAAGGAGATATAGTGTAAGTCTTAATGGCAAATAGCAGAGAGGGAAATTGTCTCTCGTCTTTTTGTGTGAAAAAAAAAAAAAAAAAATGTAAGTTGTGGACGATAAAGCGGTGGAGAGGTCTTTTTGCCCGCGTAGTTAAGCATTTCCATGAAAACGTCGGGCCGCTCTCTTGGACTCTTAAATCTGTGCCGAAGACGAAAAGAACGGGAGTAATAGAGTGTATACATACACAACGCACCTACCCTTGAGCGTAACAGTATACGTATATATACCGTGCCAGCCTTTCGCGGGTATACATACTTTCGGCCCTTCGCATCACACCCACACACGTATACGGCAAAGTCGTCCCCCGTACGGCGTGCATTGTGCGGTGCTTTTTCAAGCTCGCGAGCAATGGTATGTATATGTAGCGTCGGTGGTGGTGGGCCATAAAGGTCGCGCCGACCCATATATTTCGGGCTTGGCGCGCATTGTACCAGCCCCGGAATTGTATAAAGAAAATAAATTATCCAGCGTGGGAGCGCGCATGAATGCGTCCGCCGCCCAAAAGCTGTATATACACCATCTCGCCTCACGGCTGCGTGTATATGTGTGGGTGTGGGTTCAGCAGCAACATTAGTGCCACGAATTTACGTTATATTTGCGAGCTCCGTACTTTCGGATGTACGGACTATTTTGTTTCATTTCATACTATTTTTTTTTTTTTTTTTTTTTTTTTTTTTTTTTTTTTTTTTTTTTTTTTTCTCGTTTTCCTTCCTTTTTCCGCAGTTACACTGTGTTGCTGACATGCATTTTATTCATACCTACGTTTTAATGCGTGATGGGCTCGCATTCGCGTAAAATTGGTGATCTTTGTTGCATCATTTGCTCCATTATACCTATCACCTCTGGAGGTAGGTGCTCTGCTCCATACCCAAATGGAGCGGCTTGAGTTTGGGTGGAGGACCATTGCGGTATTCGGGCTTCGTATACGTAAGGGACGGGAAAAGCGTTGAAACTCGCAGACGGGCCGGGATATTTTGGGCGTGAATTCCCGTCCGCGAACACTATTAGGAGGTATCAAAAGAGGAAAGTCGATAGTAATGGTGGATTGCAGTGAATTCAATACAATTTGTTTGTATGCGAGTAAATGGCCAAAGGGTAACTTGGCGAAATCAACATTTTACTCTTTGGCAGCTTCCCACGGGCAGTTCCCACGTCGTGAAATGATAACAAAAAAATCAATAAATATAAATAAAAATTTGTACGCGTGATGAATAAGTGAAGCGGATATAGGGGCTGAAAAGGACAAGATCGTCAGAGCGGTGTGTGGATGGAGGAATGATTCGTGTAACAGCAGCCGTCAACTCGTGTTTTTCCACCCTCAAAGGACCTTTTTTCCCTCCCTCTTCTCCTCTTGCGACAGAATTTTTTTGCCTACCTATCAATGATTTTTTTTTTTCAACTTCATCTCTTATCGAGCGATACCGGGGAACGGAAATTTCCCACTTGTGGGTAAGCTATGCCGTATGAAAACACATTTGATTTTAAACACAGGACTTTTTTGTTCGCAACCAAGTTTTACCAGCAAATTATTTAATCGATACTTCAAAACGTTACTATTGAGATGTATATACACTAAAAAATTTTTTTTCGGATGGTTGACCAAAGGAATCCTCGCTCCGATTGAACTTCGGACTGACTCTCTAACGTACAGCAGTGTGGCTGTCATTGTGTGCACGACACACCGTAGTGGCTGGGTTATATAGGTGCTGTACGAGAACCACTACCACCAGCCAGACAGCTCTTGATCAACGTGATCAATAATTGTACTGGCAAGAGCTCTCTCTCTCTCTCATGGTAAGAGAAAAAAAAAAAAAAAAAAAAAACCATTAAGAAGCCAAAGCAAACATACGCCCATATATCCCAAGAGGTACCGTACCAATATTGACAGCTTAATTTAACGCACGATAGGTAATTTTTTTTTTTCCATTGCCTCACGGGTAGGTACATGAAACTACTGTCGTGCAAGTCACAATTTCTTCAATGACATTGAATATCGGTAGTATATACATATCGGTGGGAGCACCGTCGTCGCCATCAAGTATAGTGATAAAAGGCAATAGTGGATTTACGAGAGAGTAAACGCCTATTTCAAAGTATACGAAATCGTTAAATCCGAGTATACATACACCCCGTGAAAAGAATCGACGATCGCGCGTATAAATAAGAAATAACCGCACTCGAGTGCTCGTTCCTTTACGATGCCACAACATCCCCTTTTTAAAGATGCTCCGCTCTCCTCTTGAACACAACAACACAACAAATACCCCCCATCACTTTATCCGCAAAAGCCTTGGTAAAGCTTTTCTCGAAGCGCGCTCCTTCTGTTCTCTCGGCTCGACAGTTCTGTTGGCCTTACTGCGCGAAAATCGTCGACGATTCGCATTTTTAACTTTTTTTTTTTTCCAAACGCGAGCATCGAAAAGCATTTTTCTCGGCGCTGAACTTTCGTTTTTAATTAAAAACGGTGCTTTCCACGCTCACACGGGACGAGCACTCGAAGCAAACAATTCTCCACTCTCCGCAACCGCCTTTGACTCTCAACGCCCAAGCACCCGTCAGGTCCAACTGGCTTTGCTCCTCACTTTTTCTTTTTTTTCCTTTTTTTTTTTTTTCTACAAAATCGACGTTGATAACGCTCGAATCGGCATCGCCGGCCTGGTCGAGCCTTTGTTTTTCCAATTACTCGCAAAGCACTGCTTTGCCGTCCTGCAAACCCGTTCTTCCATTGTATTTTTTTTTTCTTTTTTATTGTTCCTGTACTCGTTGTCAGCACAATCCCCGATGGATTGCCTGCCGTTGTCGTCTTCATTGTCGTTAACGTGTATTTGTCCCGTTTCCCCCGTCCCAAGGGCTGGGTTAGACACCCACGGGCATTAAAACCTTAAAAACTACTACATACATACATATATTTGTCCCTCTGACGAGACTGTACACGATGACCGTTCCATTAAAAAAATATTGCACTCCAGTTTGACGTGTCCATCGGAGACCTGCAGTGGACGCAGCATCCGCGGACGAGAGCCAGGAGAGTCGAGTTTTCGCGACGAAAGATCAAGCGCAGGCCACGTATAAAGTCCAGTGGTGCAGCCGCGATGGAAAATCACGGGAGAGGCGCCGCCAGTTGAGATGTAAACACCAACGCCAAATACGTATGTGTGTGCATCAGTGTATTGTATACTGTATGTATGTACGCAAGGCGCGTCATAGGAGCGACGCAGACAGAGAGCAACACGTACCTATAGAGTATGAGAGAGAGAGGAGTCTATAGCCGCAACACTCCGAGTCGCGCGCTAATGGAAGCGGCGCTCTGCTACTTATATCCGATGGAGGGTGGTTGTTAGGCACTCGAGCGTCGACGATGGCGGTGGTTGGTATGGGGAGGTTACATACAATACACGTGGTATCCCTGCACAAAAGCGAAATAAAATTCCTTGGGGGTTCTTCCCATGGGGCACAAATATGTTTGTATTTATGCATTGTATTTATGCAACTGGTATCTCCTGGTCGGTGGTACGGATGGTCGAGCGGGGGGTGCAATATTCTGCGAGCAACAACGAGGGGAGAATTCATGCTTGGTGCGAGAAATGGTCTGTGAGGACCCTACCTGTATTATACATTATTATACGCAAGAGGCTTCATGATGTACATATTTATGATGTATACATCGGAGGCCGAAAACTCTGGTGCTTTATACCTTTAGTGAGCCACCAGACACTTTTGCTACTTGATTATTTGACACTCGCCCATCAACCCTTAATCGTCATTAAATGTATTATACGGGCTTCTGTCGCTAAAGTAACGTTGGTTTCTTCATCATATACCAGCTTTCTCGCGGGTTAAGGCTTTTTCAGTCGAAATGACGCCCTCCTTTGAGCCATTACTGGAGAACACGTTTTTGAATACACGGAAATGCTAAAGGGTGTCTGGGCGACGGGCGACGAAGCACGAGCATTTTACCCTTACGCTCGTTAAGTTTTCTTTCAACCGCGGTATTGTTGACTCGCGTAAAAAATCACGTCTGCGTCGAAAGTTTATACGTTTCCATGCACCGAACGTTACATCGCGGCCAACAATCGTCAACGCGCACTTGACAATTAAATCAAATATACGCATACTTTTTGAGTACATCCAAACGCTGTGTGCGCCATCGATATTTGTGATTACCATTTGTTTTTTTTCCCCTCGCTCCGCGCATTACTGCAGGTATACGCAGTTGAGGGTCAACAAGCCGGGCAATATCGCGTTCAGCCGAGGTGTTGTAATTGCAGGTACGATTTTCCGGGGTCGGGCACGAAAATTGGGTCGAGCCGCGGTTTAATTTGTTTCCGATGAACCG